CTATGGTTCATACTTTTTGTTACCTCTCTTGTACGATTAAGCCTGTTGATTTACCAGATCTCTCTCCAATTCATGATTTTTTATTTACTCAGAATGCCACAATCACATGGGCAGCACTCCTGCTACATGTCCAGGAGATCTCAGGATCAAATCTTAACCCATAGACTGGCTAACCTGACTGAGGTTTCTCCTGGTTTCCTTAAGTCCCTACAGGTAAATGTCATGACATTCTTCCACATCTTTCTCTGATTCCTTATTCACTAATCATCTTATCCCTCAGTGGTATGTAATCTCAGGCACTGAAAGCACTTTTTAATAAATCATGAATAAATGAATGGCACTGAGACCCACTATAATGCCTCCTCAAGATTCATATCACAAGGCCATCTTGAAGTGAGAATATAGTACATCTCAGAAATACATGTTCCAGTAGTCATCAGAATGTGTCTCCTTAGATTCAAACAGTTTCAGTGTGCAGACAACTCTATGCAACCAAATTAGTTTGCATTACCATGTACCTTATCAGCTTCAACAGCAGTGCATACCTTTATTAAAACTTCCCTTGAATCTGATTTGTCTTTTACAGATTTGTTTGAAATACTGCCAAATTCATTATTAAAAAATTATAATACTAATGTTCTACGGCACCCAGTGTTCAGTACCAGATGGGTTAATTTCATGGCTTACAGTCTGTAAAAACATTTTTTTTTAAGAATACTGACATAAAGGACCAAAAACAGGACAAATTAACACAAGAATGAGTGAGTTGTACTCTGTTGTTCAGAGCATAAATAGCTTTTTTCAAGTCATTTAGAAGATGAAAGAAGAACAAATGTTTGGCATCAGTTGCATCTTAGTGGAATAGAGCTTTCAACAAATTACCTAACCTTTCCTAGACTATGAACATTAATGACACACTTCTACTACAGTGCAATGTGAATTTGGCACAATGGGAGAGTAAAGTCAGTTTAAAGTGTAACGCACAAGTAAAAGTAAGGTGGAACTCGTTTCACTCTTCATAGATCGAAGGCAATATTTTCCACACTCGGGCAAAAATAATTTTTACATTTGACATTTAAACTTAATTTGTAACCAATTAATAAACTTGCCAGAGCATAGTCTTTCTTATAAAACTAACAGTTACTCAGATACTTACAAAATTTCCTACCTTTTACAGAATGCCAAAGGTTCATTATCATGTTCACAAGAACATGACACTTGTCCCTAACAGTTTTATTAGTTAGGACTGAAAATAATTAGCAACTGGAAATAGTATATATTCAGTAAGATTCTTCTTCCTGTATGTTCTAAATATAGCCACTAGACTTTGCAGGTAAAATGTTTAACACAGTAGTACTGCAATACTGGGACACACAATTGATCATGACTGGTCATGGTGCCATCTGATGCCTACCCTCTTCTATTTCATCCTACTGCAGTATGATAGTGGACGAATGTAATTCCATTAGAGGTTTTATATAAGATGCCTATAAATAAATTAAGACAAAAAACGCACCAGTTAAAAACAACGTTGAAAGTTCTATTGCGCAAATTAGGTGTTTTAATCAGATCAGCAATGCTTGCATTTTCGGATCTAGAGTCAATGGCCCTTGCTTTGCCTCTAGAAACGAAGTATGCAACATCTAGTTCCTCTGCACAGCCATTCTGCTTCATAGCCTTCTCTACTATAGTCACAGCCTTATGAATTTGTCCTTGGGCCCACAGCCAGCGTGGCGATTCATCCACAAGCCTGGAAAGAAAGCACTCATTATGACTTTCAACTTTATTTTCATCCATAACTGAAGTGAATACAATTGGACACAACAAAAAATAACAGCGAATATATCACGTGTCAAAGTCACATAAAAATTACACAATGATCTATCACAATAATATAACGACCGTTATAAGGTACATAACAATAAAAGATGCATAAGACCAAAAGAAAAATATCAGTAATATAAAACATGTAAACATAATATTAAAAATTGCAAACCAAAAGACAAGCAACAAACTAGTCATCAATCCAACACTAGTTGAAAAACTCTCGAAGAGAATAGAAAGCACTGCATAGCAAATAACTTTTTAGTTTCCTCTTAAAACATTAAAATTNTAACATGTAATGTTATATTTTAGCGTCCTGTTGCACTGATTTAAGTTCATGATTTGTTTATTCCGTCTTGCAGTGCATACACTTATCTATCTTCTTCTCTCACTTTCACTACATGTTTCGGCATAAGAATGCCATCTTCAGGTGCTACTCAATTCACGTCAAACTAGTACATTGTATGCCTTGTCTTCACTTTAAAATAACTAAAATATATGTCCATCATATATATTGACAAATGTCAATCGTAAAAATATTAAAA